CTGCCATCACTCAAATTACAGCGGCGGCAGAAGCAGCCGGGGAGACGGAAGGGGGGGGGGAAATGGACACACACACACACACACACACATACACACACACATACACACACACACACACATACATACATACTATTGCATGCATGCATGTATATAATAGACGGAAAGATACAAGTTAGTGCAGTCATAGGACGCGAGACGGCGACGTGGCGGAGCCAGCGCACTGACGCAGCTGCGGGAAAAAAAAAGGCAAAAAGAAAAAGAAAAAAGCGGAAAGGAGGCGGCAGCCACGCCTTCCCCCACCCCCCATCGTGCTCAAAGTAAATCAACGTAATTACGTACTGGCCGGTCCTTGCCCACTGCTACCGCAACGTTGTCGTTTTTCGCTGCAACTCTCTCATCACTTCTTTCCCCCGCACCTCCGTGCGTGTTGCTGTAGACGCTGCAGCTGCTGTGGGCACGACTGTGCCGTTTTCTGGCATCAGCACTGACAACGTCGGGTGGCCCGTCTAAGAAGCCATTACCATCGTCGGCAAACGTATGGTTGCGCGTTTTCGGGTTTGACCGGGTCGACTGGGCGTTGGGGCTGATGGGTGTCCTGCAAAAGGAACCCGCCGCCGCGTATAACCCCCGAGAATCTGTGGCGCCGTTCTTTGCGGCACCCGCGTCCTCCGCTGCCGCCTCCGCCGCGGTTTTCCCAGCATTCGTGGTTTTTTCCCTTCGCTCTATCGCGGGGGCGAGCAGTGCGTCGCGAGCGTGCCGTTGCCCCAGCTGCGTCGTCGCAACAACACAGTGGCGTGCGAGGAGGCCGGCAATGCTGTCCCTTGCCCTCCCCGTGAAGAGCTCCCGCCTGCCGGAGGAGGGAGCGGCGGCAGGCGCAGCAGCATCCCCCGCCGCTGCACCGCCTTCCACGACGGAAACAGTGACGGACGCACCCTCGTTGCCGTGGCACCGGCGCGGCGCCTCCAGGCTGAAGTGGGGCCTGGACTGGGCGCGGGCGCGGGCGCGCGGCGTCGGTGGCGGGGTGCCGACGTCGTCCGCGTCGGGGCGCAAAAGTGCGCCCACGATGGCCGCCTTCAGCTCAGCCGCAGCCCGGGCGCCGAAGGCGGCGTACACCGCCGCACCGGCGTCCCCCGCGATGGCCTCCGCGACGGCCTCGAAGGAGATGAGAAGCGTCAGCGGCGGGTGACTTGCCGGCTGACTGCGCAGCGGCTCCTCCGGCATATTGCTGCCCCCGGCGAGGTGCAGCGCCCCAACAGCCCCGTCCGTCAGTCGCGAGCTGAACTGCTTGGCCAGCTCGCTGCGGTGGCGGCGCTGCTGCAGCAAGTCCGCCGCGTAGCGCAAGAGCTGCGGCAGCGCGAGAACCTCCCCGCAGTTCACGAGCACCACCAGCGAGAGATGCGCCCACGCCACGTGGAGGTCGGGAATTTTTTTGTCGTTCGCCACAAACGCCTGCAGCTGTGAAACGACGGCGAGGACAAACGGCAAGGCGGCGGCGCCGCGGCTTTGCATCACGGCCGCCACCACCCGCCCCACCTCAATGACGCACGTCGGTGTCACCGGCCGCGCGCCGGCAAGAAGCGACAGAACCCAATTTTTCGCCACAGCCACGTCCTGCTCGTCCGTTACGAGTGGCGGCGGCGGCTCCGCCATCTCCGTCGCAGCCTCGAAGACGCCGCCGTCCGCGGCGGGGCCCTGCTGTGGAATTTTCCCCGCAAGGAGGCCAACTAGCACCTGGGCGGCGTAGGTCTGTGCCGCGTCGTGTGTCGCGAGGAAAGGCGCGATGGCGCCTGCGAAGTTGATGTCGGTGCGGTCGGTTAGCGGAACAGCTCGCACGTACGGCGCGGCCACTGCCAGGGCGCGCAGCCCTCGCATCACGTTCTTCGACGTCGGCTCCTGGCACGCACCCAAGAGCCCCACGAGGAGGAGGTGCAGCCGCGGAGCATTGCGCCACCTGTGGGTTGTGTACATGAGCGTCGCCAGCAGCTGGAGGAGGAGGTTGTTGTAGTCCTCCGTCTGGTTGGGCCTGCTCATACATTTGCAGAGCAACTCGAACAGCAGCTGTGGACGCCCGCCTGTCATGCGTACTTCGTGCGTGCAGACGATGAGGGCACGAAGTACGCCCTCCTGCACCTTCGCCGTCTCCTCTTCCTTTTTTCGGGGCGCCATGACCATCTCACAGAGGCACTGGCATACACTGAAGCCGAGCTGCTGCGGTCGCCACTCCAACGCCCGCGCCAATGACCGCAACGTGACACTCGCGAACCCCGGCACCGACCATCCGTCGCAGGACGCGATGAACTCCAAGACAAGCTGCAGAAATTGATATATTCCGGCGGTTGACACGCGTCCAACCACCGCGCCTATGCCCCACGACGCTGCGCTGATGCACGCAAGATCCCGCTGCCTCGGCTCGGTGGGAAGTGCAACGCTGTCGAATGGGCCACTTTTGATGTGCTGCAGGAGCACCACGGGGGGATCGTGCTTGGGCCACTGTGACTCACCCCCAGCACGCATTGCGTTGAAAAGGTTTTGCAAGAAGGCTACCTTCTGGCGACCAGCAATATCTGCCAAGGCGCCATGTAGACAATATATAACGTTCCCTAGCGCCACAATTGCGGCGTAGCGACACCGCAGTGTGGCGGCATCGTCATTGTCGATGGTCTCTAGACACATCTTCTCCAGCGGGGGGAGCAGCTTTTCCTGGCTGTCCGTTAGCAGACGACAGGAGTGCTCGACGTCCACGCGGCGGGACAGTTTGTAACACAAAATGGCTAACACATCCGCGGCACCGACGCGGTACTCCACGGTGTAGTGGGAGAGCAGCATGGAGCAAATGCTAATGCAGTGCGGCACAAATCCGCCCACGTCGTCGGACTGGGCGATTAGGTCCCGCAGCATCTGCACCCCCACCATGACGCGGTGCACCTTGTGCCGCCTGAGGGGGATGACCAGCAGCTTCGAGATCTTGCGGCAGACGCGCGGGATGCGCTCGGGGTTGCTGGCGACGTAGTCCTTAAGGTTGCCGAACGCATCCCGCACAGACCCGTGCTGCGGGTCCTGCGTGAAGACGGCGACGACAAAGTTCTTGAAGCGCAGCCCCTGTTGTGGCACACACGTGTTGCCCATTCCCTGCAGCTGTGAGACGCCGTCCGCCACGCGGGTGCTGCGAGGCACGCCACGAGAGCAGCAGCAGCAGCAAAAAAAAAACCAAGAGGATGAACAGCGGGGCAAATGGAGGGAGAAAGGAAAGAGGAGGCATCGGCGAGAAGTAACGGGCAAGTCACCCTCCCGCTCAGCGGAGTCGAGAGAGAAAGAGGGAGAGAAATAGAAAAAGGAAGAGGGAGAGATACAGAAGTCAGCTGCCTTTTTATTGTTCCTCCTTTCGTCGCTCACTTTGGCGTCTGTCGCCCCACCCCCCTCCCCCGCCGACCGTCACCGCACGATGCCGTCGCGGATGAGTCGGTCCAACTCCGCGCACACCGCCTGCAGCGGGAGCCCCATCACGTTGTAGTAGTCGCCCTCAATCGCAGCAATGAGGCACGCCGCGGCGTCCTGAATGCCGTAGCCGCCGGCCTTCCCCTGCCAGTGGCGGCGGTCCGCCGCGTACGCGGCGATCTCCTCCTCCACGAGCGGCGCAAAAGTAACGGTCGTGCACACCTTCACCTCGCGCCAGTGCAGCCCCGCGCCGCTCGCCTCGTCACGCACCACCAGCACGACGCCGCTCCACACCTCGTGTTGCGCGCCGGAGAAGCGGCGCAGCATCGCCGCCGCCGCCTCCGCCGTGGAGGGCTTTTCGATAATCGCAACCCCGCCATCTGGCGCCGGCATGGTGACCACCGTGTCCGCCGCGATGAGGAGGTCGAACGGTGGCGGGGGGTCGGAGCTGCTTCTCCTCCCGCCCGTGCCCGCGAGGGCCCGCTGCGGCTGCTGCAGCTGACGCACAACGTCCTCCGCCTTGTGCCGGGCGGTGCACAGCGCGTAGTCCCCGCCGCAGGTGAAGTTGGCCTTGGGAAGGTTCTCCGCAAAGCCCGACACGCACACCTCGAAGTGGCGCAGCCCCGTCCGCTCGAGTATCTCCCGCCGACGCGGCGAGGCAGAGGCGAGCACGATGCGCTTCCGCCGCAGCAGATCGAGGTGCTGCAGTACCATAACACACCTCCGCCCCCCGCTCGTGCGCCCAGACCCTGCCACTTCCCGCCCTTCCGCCCTACCACTGCGGGAGAAAAGGAGATGGAGAGGTTGCACACAGGCACAGCGACAAAGAAACCAACGAAAGAAAGGTCAATGAGGGCGACCGCATGTCGTTATTGGGCGCTAGCACCACCACCACCACCGCCACAGCTTTTTATTCTTCGTTCTTTGGGCCTCTACGTCGCTCCATTAGCCGTCCCCTTCCCCCGTTTTTGTCTCTCGGTTCCCACTCACACGCTCCGCGCGGGGGGCAGTGACAGCGAGGTGGACTCGGCGCCCTCAGCTTCGTGGCGACAGGCACTACCGCCGCCCTCGTCTTCCGCCGCCCTTCTCCCCTTTGCCCACGCCCCTGCCGGAGCCTTCTGCTTCTTCCTTTGCTTCCTCCTCTTCCCCCTCCAACTCCTGGCGTCGACGCCGAAGGCGCTCCAGCAGCGACGCGGAGGCGATCGCCTCGGGGACGCGCACCGTCGCACTGCCGGGTGTCACTTCGGCCGTGCCCGCATTGCGCGCCGCCGCTTTGGCCGTCCGCGACGGCGCGGGGGGTGCGCGGTCCTCCGCCGGCTGCCCCGTTTTTCTGCCCGCCTTTCGGGGCCCTCGCCTTCGTTGTTGTCGCAGCGGCAACTCGACCGCTTTTCCCTCTTCCTCCTCCTCCTCTTCCTCCTCCTCCTCTGCCTCCTCCTCTTCCTCGTCGCTTTGCGACTCAGAGGGGCGAGCGCGCTTGGGGGGCCTTCCCACCGCCCTTGAGGGGAGGGCGCCGGGCATCTGCCGCTGCCGCCGCGACTCGGGGCTGACGACGCGCTCAGGCGGCGGCGGGCGCCGCACTTTGACGGCGACGTGGTCCCGCAGCTTCTCCGTCAGGTGCGTCTCCGCCTCCGCCGCCTCCACAAATTCCTCCGCCGCGGTGATGACCTCCGCCGCGTTGGAGAGCGCCCCCGCCACGCGCCTCCAGCGATTCGGTGTGCAGAGCGGGGCCATCTGCTCTAGCACAGCAACGGACTCCTTCCTCACGCCTCTGAGCTCCGCCAAGTGCACGGCGAAGGCATCATTGGGGGCGGCGTCCCACGCCAGTGTCTCCTTCGCTCTCGACACCGCAAGTTTGGCTTGTGCGATGCACAGGCGCAGCGCCGCCCCGGTGGGGAGCAGCAGTGCCTCACGCAACACCGCCTTGCGGCAACACGGCAGCTCCTTCGCAACAGCGGCGCGCACAGCGTCTGCCTTCTTGTGCCACGCCCGCTCGCGCTGCCGCAGCGTGGTTGTCCCCACCGCACCGCCGGCGTCTTTGCCACGGTTCTCCTTCTTCACACGACACAACTCCTCGTTCGTCCTCTCGCACCGCTGCAGGGCCTGCGCGACGGACTCGTACGCCTCCTCGAAGCGTTCGTCAAGCGTCACGACGACGCCTCTGTCGCGGTGCAGCATCGCCTCAAGCGCGGCCAACTCCGACTCCACACTGGACGGCAAGAGCAACGCCAACTCCATCTTATGGATTAGCCCCTGAAGCTCCTCCAGCTGCTTCTGCACGCCGTCCCGCATGCCGCGGGTCGCCGCCTGCTGCTGCAGTAAGTCCCGCAACGCTTCCTCAGCCGGCAGCTCGCCGAACTTTGTCATGTCTGCTGAGAGTTTGGTGGCCAGGGGTACGTACGCGGCGGGAGGGCCGGTGGAGCTGAGCGCCTCGGCCTCGACCTCGGGGGCATCCGCGATGACGTCCTCCTCCCGTGCCGGTCGCACGTAGTAGACGACGTTGTTCTCGTGCTGGTACCTGTCGTGCAGCGTGGGGATGTCGCGGAGGAGCGCGGGGGCAAGCGGAAACACCCGCAGAAGATCCGACCCCTCCAGCAGTTCCGCCAGTTTTCTAAAGGACTGCGCCGGCGAGCTGTCAGCGTCGGTGTCAGCGGCGTCGGCTTTTGCCGCCTGGGAGCCTACAAGCGTGGCGCTCAACCGCCCAAGCAGCTGCCAGCCGCCGCTCTGTCTCGTCTTTCCCTTCGACGCCGCCGAGGCCGCCACGCTGCGCGCGAGCTCCTGCTCTACTTCCTCCACGAGCTTCCGGGCGTAGGCAATGTGGCCAAGCACAAGCGACATGTCAGGCACCCGCGCCGCGTTGTTGTAGTGCTCCGCCCGGTGGCGGTGGTACGCCGCGAGTAGCAGCGGCGGCAGGAAACGGAGCGACTCCGAGGTGTGGGCCGCAGGAAGCCGTACCGCGTACGCGCTGTAGGCGAGCTTCGCAAGGGCGTCGTGCTTCTTCGCGACGGCGCCGGAGAGGGTGGCGTGCGCGTATTTCGCGACCGCCATGCACAACTCCGCCATCTCGCGGAGGGTGCGGAAGTCAAAGTTCTGCTGGACGAGGTAGCAGTCCGCGGGCGAGAGCAGTTTGTCCGACTCCTCCGCCAACGCCTGCTCCCCGTGCGCCGCGAGCTCGGCCCCGAGTTGGAAGCTCTTGAACGCCGCCTTCGTGTCCCCGCTGGGGGACAGGCCCGCGCACGCGCTGCGCGTCGCACAGCGGGCGTAATTTGCCCGCACACGCTCCATCGCAGCCATGCCCGCGTTGCAGTTGCTGACGGCGGCGTCGTACAAGACGACAAACATCTCCATCGCCGGCCCGCTCACGGCAACGTCGCGGCCGCTGATGCGCACGGGCGGAGGCGCAAGACGCTCCAGCACCTCCGTCGGCCACGACGACGTCGCCGCGTGCAGGGCGAGCAGGAGACCGCCGTACGACTTGGCTGCGCGGGCGCCCGTCACCGGGTCGCTGTAGAGCGTGAGCGGGGACGCCGCGTACGACGTGAGGGCGTTGAGCGCCGCCACCACGGCGGGGGTTGGGGCGAGCCCTACGGTGTGCAACGCGTCGTGCAGCAGCGTGCCCCACCGCACCGCCTCCTCACGGGTGGCGGCTGGAAGCATCACCGGCGGCCGCACCTCCCGCTCTCGCTTCTTCTATCGGCCCCTCCCCACACTGAGACGGCGGTCGCCGGGCAGGCGTGTGTGTGTCTGTCGCAAAGTAAAAAAAAAACGCAAGAAAACAAACAAAAAAGTATATATATATATATATGTTATGTATTATGTACGTGTGTAGCCTTTTTGCTTTTCCCCTCCCCGCCAAGAGAGAAAAAAAACAAAAAACACACGCACGCCTCGCAGGCCCTTTGGCTCCTTCGATGGATGTGCGGACTGGCGCCGGTGTGTCGGTGAAGGCGACGGCGGGCCGCGGAGGAGGAGGAGGAGGTGGAAAAAACAGGCGCGTGCGGGCGTGCCAAAACGGCCCCCCGCAGTGCAGCAACAGGGGCTGAAAGAAACCAACAACAACAACAAACGACACAGAGAGAAAGAGGGAGAGGAGCCCCAGCAGGAGCAGCAAAAATAAAATTATCAACAAACACATTGCAAATAGAAACACGCAAGCGCACTCCTCTTTGGCGGGCCGGTGGCCCAACGGGCGGCGCTCGCGATCAGCGGCGACGCAGCACCACCAGCGAGCACGTCGTAGACGTGAGCCCGGGGATCATCTGCAGCTGCCGCAGTACCGCCTGCGCATCCGCGTGATTCGCCACCACCTCCAGCGACCCCGCCATCGTTGCCTGAATGGTGTCGACAAAGGAGAACATCCCATCGCGGTGCCGCTCGCAACACAGGAAGGCCATTCCGCCAGCACGCAGAAGTCGCACAAGGGCCGGGGCCACGTGGCTGGCGATGGTGTGGTCGTACACAATGTCGCTGCCCAGTACCAGGTCGTACTGCCCACACATGGCCTCGGGAATAGACGCGAAGTCCAGGCAAAACGCCCGCACGGCCGCGCCGCGTCCCACTTCCTCCGTTGCTTCGAAGAGGGCGGCCAATTCCGGCCCATTGCGCAACGTGAAGGAGCGTCGAACCTCCTCCACCACGGCGGGCGAGATGTCGGTAACATCGAGCCACGTGCGGCGCAGCCACGCCGGCTCCCGTGAGAGACGACTGGCGAGCACAAGCGACACCAGCGCGGGGCCGCAGCCGAGCTCAATAGTTCGCAGCGGACGGCCCTCTTCGGTGGCGGAGATCGAGTGCAGCACGACGCCCAGCTTCTCCACGAGGTAAAGTGCAAGGGCCACGGAGCCCGGCCAGAGCCTCGCCCCCGTCTCCCCCGCGGCGTAGTCGGCGAACCCAAACACAACGCGCACCACCTCACCGCGGAGCCGCACCCAGAACAGCATGTCGGCATCGTGCCGTGTGGTACCGCCGCAGCAGTTGGAGATCGTCGCCGACGCCGCGTCTATGATTTCGTGCGTGATGGGTGTCTCTGGCTGCAGCCCCTCCACGCCGCTCATCACGGCGCCGTCGCAGGGGCACGCGCCCTCCGCCTCGAGTTTCACTGCCCGGCGCACAATGAGCGTCAGTGTGGCGGATAACATGTCGCGGGTGGCTGTCGCGTCCCCCGAGAGGCCGCCCAACGCGGTGTACCGTCGCGCGTGCTGCAGCAGCGACAACAACTCGGCCGGCGGTGCCGCATCGCGTCCCCAGCGTGCCAGACACTCCTGCAGCGCCGCCAGAAGGCCGTCGCTGTTGGAGAAGAGACGCTCCACCTCCCGCAGCGGGCCGTCGTCTGCGGGCTGCAGGCCGGCGTTGGCGGAGCACAGAGCCAACATCCCCGCCTGCGCCCCGCCCTGCCTGTGGGCAACTCCCGCGCCGCGGCTGCAGGGACGGGCGCCGTCAAGGCCAGAGAGCCCTCCCACCTCCTTCCAACTGCCCGAATGCAGGCACGAAGAAAGTAAAACAAAAAAAAATAAAAAAAGAGAAAGAAAGAAAACAAGGGAAGGCAAGGGACCCCATTGAACCAGTCAAAATTCCCGCACTCCCCACCATCGTAAGAGGGCAGGTTGGGGCGCGCGTGCAGCCTCGCCTTTCCTAGACGGCGCCGACAACTACCCACCCCCTTTTTTTTTTCATCTCTCTCTCTCTCTCTGGGCGGTGTGCGGGCGGCCGCAACTCTTGCTGTGCGCTCAAGTGTACGACGACAGGTTGATGGTTAGACGCTGCGGGACGGATGCCGCTGCGCGCGCTGGCGGCGCCGCTCCACCCGCCGCTGCAGCCGGCTCGCGCGGTGCCTCGCCGCGGCCCTGCCGCTGCATGAGTCGCCGCAGCACCGCCGCCTCTTCGCTTCCAAGGGACTGAATGACGGTCCTCAGCTCGCCCGCGTAGAGGCGCATCAGCTGCTGCGTCAGCGCGGCGCAGGCGTCCGGGTAGCGGGAGCCCAATTCGTCCGCAGCGTCACCGTGCGCGGTCACCGTCGCCAACATCAGCAGGGCGCGGATGAAGAGGCGGACGCGCTCCAGCACCCGCGGGCTGTGCTCCTCCTGCTGCAGCGTTTCCGCGTGAATGAGGCAAAGCAGGGCGTGCTGCACGCACGGCGTCCACCGACGCCGCAGCGCAGGGCGAAGTGCCGAGGAACACGCCGTCAGCACTGCGCCGCACAGACGCACATCGTGAGACATCGCCGGAAACACACGCCGCAGCAACCCCAAAGGGTCGGCGCTTTGCGCCAACGCCTCCATCAGGCGCGCGAGTGTGGCCTCCATCACATGCGACCCCGCAAAGAGCAGCGGCGAATCGTCGGCGGGAGAAATGAGTTGCAGAAGCAAAAAGCCACACACGCTCGCGCGCGCCAGCCCCCGTCGCTCCTCCTCCGAGAGTTGCTGCACATACGCCGCCGTGGTCGCTGTGGGCTCGCTGCTCGCCACTAACACGTCCACGTCGAGGGACCGAAGAACGAGGTTCATACACTCAACGCTGCAAGACGCCTCGGCGGCCAGACGCAGGCTGGCGAGAGCGCCCACGCAGAGGCGCTGCTGCGCTGCCAGCGCCAGCAGGAGTGCCTCAACGTCAGCCGCACACTTCTCACAGTTGGCGGCCGCGGCCATCTCCAGCACGTGCGTGGCATCTTCGTCGCTCAGCGCCTCAGCACCCTCCTGCAGGAGGAGCCCAAACGCCGTGCGCAGCACTACCTCCTGGTGCGTTGTGGAGAGCAGGGGCACAATCGTCCGCATGCCACGCAGCGCCACGCCCGGGGTGCACAACAGCAGACACAAGAGACATCCGGCCGTGTGCCGGAGGGTCGGGCCCAACGCCTGCACTGTGGCGCACACGTTCTCTAGCACCCCAAGAGCGGCGACGGGCGTGGCGTAAGCGCAGTCGTCCAGCGGTGTCGGGACCATATCGTACGCCGGCTTAAATCCGTGCATCACGGCCAGCGAGGTCACCAGCTGGTTGCACAGCAAAGCCGCGGCCGCCTGCCCACTCATCGACGCGAGTGCCTCCGCTGCCGCCTGGTCTGCCTGCAGCCAGCGCGCCTCTGCCGCTCGCGTGCGGCACGTCGCAAGCGCCACGGCAACGCGTCCGCATCCGCCATGGGCGACGGCGTCGTCATTCGCATCGCACCCCTCCAGCGTCTCCAGCAGCGTCGCCAGGGCCGCAACCACCCGAAGCACACTGGCGTCATCCGCCAAGTTGCACACGATGAAGCTCTCCGCGAGACGGCAGCCCTCCTCGCAGCAGCAGCGCGAGCGCTGGATGATGCGCCGCATGCCGCTCACCAACACGAGGCGCCAGGGAAGCAGAAACGGCGCGGCGGCGTCCTTCGCACGCTGGCCATACGTCTCCAGAACGACCAGCAGGGCCTCCGCCGCGGGCCGAATAAACAGCGGCTCCACCTCCACGAGTGAGACGGAGGAGAAGAGCAAGTGCAGGTGACGCGCCAGAAGACCATCCTCCAACGCCGCGCAGAGGTGGGGCTGCTGCATCATTTCCGTCATCAGCGAGAGGACGGCTAGCTTGGCGCCCACTTCGCTTGTCACCATCTCCGCCCTCGCGGCGTCGGCGTCCCTCGCCTCGTTTCCCCTCATTTTCCTCGACATCGGCAACCCTCCCATTCCCTCCTCACGGCTGCTCCTCCGCAGCGGCTCGGGCGTGACGCCTGCCATGCCGTGGGGCTGCTGCGCCGGTTTCCCGCGCATAATCAGCTCCATCTCCTCCAGGCACACGCCCAGGTGCGCCCGGTCTGCGCTGCGCAGAACGGCGCGCGCCACACTCACCCACGCCTGGCGGGTCTCAGGCGACGCCGCGGCGTCTATCAGCTGCGCCAGACGCAGAAGTGGCACCCAAACAACATTGGCGGTTGCGGCGTCGCCGCAGCAAACCGCCAGCGTGTCCGCCGCCGCGCGAGACACGAGTTCATTAAAGCGACCACTGCCCTCCAGCAGTCCCACCACCTCCTTCTTCAGGTCGAGGAGGTCCAGCACGGGCGGGGAGGCAGCTGCGACGGCTGGCGCCGTCTCCATCGATGGGCCTTTGGGGCCCGACGCGGCAAGGCGCAGGGTGTTCAGCAGGGCGCCGGTGGACTCCTCAGAGAGGGCGCGTGAGGAGAGAACGGCGTGTACGAGGCCCCGAACGCAGACGCCCACACCGGCGTGCGTCACGGCATGCATCTGCGGCACCACGAGCAAGAGCAGCTCGAGCAGGAGCAGCAGCACGAAGGGGTCGATGGTTGCTGTTGTGGCAGGCAGCAGGAGTTGCGGCAGCAAAACGGTGGAGACGACGGAATAGACTTGCGCTGCGTGCTGCGGCGCCATGCGGGTCATTGCCACCAGCGCCGCCGCCACAACGGTTGTCTCACCACACACGCCGTGCTGCTTCAGCACACGCATCACAAACGAGACCGCCATGGAGGCGGTGGCGCCGCTGTCGGCCCGGTGCATCTCGCCAAGCGCGAGGAGGACGCCGCTGAGGCGGTGGGCGTCCGCGTCGGAGTTGAAGTTTGCCACGGCAGCGGAGGTGAAGTCGTCGCGCCGGCCGGTGATGGTCGCGAGGCGTGCCAGCAGCTGCGCCGCCGCGAGCCGTACCGCCCACACCCCGGACGACAGCCAGTGCCCCTCCACGAACGCAAACCACTCCGTCGCTGCGGCGGCAACCCACTCAAAGGCGGCGTCGCAGCGCGCGAAGATGCCGTTGAGGCAGCACAGCACGTTCCACGCCGTCACCGCCGGGTCGCCGTCGTCGGCGGCGCACCACCCCCGCAGGCAATCGAGCACGCGCCGCCGGCACCCCTCCCCCACACACTCCGTGCAGCCGGCAAAAATTAGACACACCGCGCGCCACGTGGCTTGCGCCTGCGCCTTTTGCGCCGTCGGCGGCAGGAGCCGTTGGTAGTCGTCAAGGCACCCCGCCGCAGCACCCAAGAGCCGTGCGCCCTCCGCCTCGGCGGCGTCGCCGTGTTCCTCCGCCGCGCACGGCAGACCGTCGCGGTTTGCCTCCGACACATCCGCAAGGGCCCGCATCAAGACACCGTGTTTGCCCATGTCATCCGAGCAGGCCGACCAGGAGGCCCCGGTAAGCAGCGCGTACGCCGCAGCCCGCACGGCCCGCTGCGACGACACACCGGTGGCGTCAAGCGTCTCCAAGAGCGCCACGACGAGCTTCAGCTCAATGTCTGAAGCCCCCACCTCCACGAGCACGGCACAGGCGGAGCCCGCCGCACGCGCGTACTGCGGCGTGCCGGACGGATTGCTGACAAGCAGACTCAGAAACACCCGCACCGACGTCTGCACGTTGGCGACAGTGGCGGGGGAGAAGCGACCACGCTGATGCTTGAGGAGCAGAAGCGCAAGTCGATTAAAGTACTCCACGCGCCGCAAAAAAACCGCCTCCACCTCCGGGGGTGGGACCTCAATACTAAGCGTGGCGACAAGCGCAAGCAGGGTCTCCAATACGCACGGCCGCCGCAGAAAATCTGCCGGCATGGCGAGGAGTGCCTTTGCGTGCAGGGCAACGACAGGTGGCATTGGCTCATCGGGTTCCATCTCACCAGCTGCAGCGTATAACTTGCGCAACAACGCCCGGCTACAGATCTCGTTCTGGTGCGCCAGACACGCCATGGCTTCGCTTGTTACCTGCAGAAGGGATGGGTAACGCACTGGAACCTGCAGCAGCTGCGCCCAAAGCGCCGCCGCAAACTCGCTCGTCGCAACAACCATGCGAACCACACCCGTGACGCACAACAACGCGGTGTGTGCGACGCTCTTCCCACAGGAGGCGTCAAGAAAGCGTAGGAGACTCGTCACAACGGTCCCACGAATAAGGTCGGAGTTCATGCGTGACGCCCAAAGCAGCACCGCCCGAGCAACAATGGGCGGCATGTACCTGCGGTCATCGTGCGGGACCGGCTGCAGCAGCTCAAAAAGCAGCCCACAGCCCTCTCCATGGAATCCAACGAGACAGTCTGCAGCAAAAGTTCCCCGATGGCCACTGAAAGGACGCGCTGCGTCGCGTGGTTTATTGCACTAGGGTTAAATAAATGCCTAATAATATCCGCGGCTTCCGCGTCAGTTGCTGCGGCGAAGTGTGTCCAGTCACTTCCATGCTGCGTGGCGGCCAGTAAGCACCCGATGGCCGTGCCCACGTCGTTTTCAAGCCTGCAAGAGATGCCGACGCCCTCGGCGAGGCGCATCATCATGTCCAGCATGGCGGTGGACTGGGCCGTGTCCGGCACCACGCACCCCTTCAGCAAAACACACAGGCTTTCCACACCCTTCTCTCGCACCAGGGGAAGAGGGCAGGCCACCGCTTTGCGCAGGTAATCTAGCCAAGCCGCGGCCAGTAGCGGCCGCGGCGGCGGCAGCAGCAGCGACGACGGCGTCGGGCTGCCAGTCCTCTCCTCCTGCGGATATTGTTGTTGTTGTTGTTGCTGCTGCTGCTCATTGTATTTGTGGGACTGTAGAATGAGGTATGGAAGGAGCTCCAGGGCGGCCAACCGCGGCGCGACAGCCGCTGTCTTCACGGGGTGGGGAAGGTTCTGCCGCGGGACGCAGTCAACGTTTGCCGGGCATCGCTTGAGAACCACCCGCAGGAGCGTCAGCGCGGCTTGGAGTGTGGCGTTGCTGCCGCCGCGATCCCTCGCCAACTGCTTCGCCGCGTCCCACAGCCGCGGGACGTGCTGGGCGGCGCCGACAGCCGGCTTCGCCCGCGCCAGCAGCGCGTCCAGGGCCCCCGCCCAGGCCTCGACGGCGAAGCCCGAGAGCGGGTCCTCCAATACGCTCTCCACCGCGAAGCCAACCACCGCGGCGACGGCGCCGCTCGCCGCCAAGGCCCGCCACTCATCGCCCCCTAGCGCCAGCACCCGGAGCTCGAGAAGTTGCACCGCCGCAGCATACTCCGCCTGGTCCTGGTCACTTGCTGGCCTGACCTTTAGCTGGGCGGCGGCGCGCCGGAGCCGCTCGAGCAGCAACAGGAGCCAATTCGTGCCGTCCTCGTGCCCCATAAAACGGTGCAACTCACACAGAAACTACTCTCGACTGAGGGCTTGTGGAAGGGACCGGAGCAAGCAGGAAAGCGCGGGAGAAAAGAGAGGGTTGCACAAACACGCACTACGGCTCCCGCCCCTGCGCATCATACAAAGAAGAAATAAACCGTTCTCCTCAGCTTGGAACCCAAGAAGGAAGGAAGAATGCGTGAATCAGTGAGAGAGAGGGAGGGGGAGAGAACTGGTGCTAGAGGCATGGCACAGATACACACACAGAGATAGGCATATATCTATATGTATATGCATATATGTACGTGCTCTGCGTAGCTTCATTGTTCTTGTGTACATGATAAAAGGGAGCAATTACAATGGCGGTGAGAAACAAGTAGATAGAGAGGGAGAGAGAGATAGGAAAGTCAAGAGCAAGGGAACTGAAGTCTACCATTTTAGACGCTTCATGGATGCCCCCCAGGTCTCTTGCCACCGCACCTCATGCTCTGTCCACTTCTGGAAGGTGTCGCTCGCCTTGCCTACGGCGCCCGAGGAGGCGCTGTTAAACTGCTCCACCGATTGCTGCGTCAGCCTTGCGATCTCCGTGTGCAGCGGTGTTTCAGGCGCAAGAATGCTCACCATCAGCGCCCGCTCATCGACCACCGGCGTGCTGACGGTCTCCTTCTTCTGTCGTCGGCCGGCTGCCTGCGTCTGCAGCCGCGTCACTAGTGAGACGCGGGCAAACGCAGGGGCAACGTCGCTGTTCGGGACGGGGACGGCGGCGCTCGGGTGCTCGGCGTTGAAGGCCTCCACCGGCCGCAAGGCATGCAGCGGGACGCGGCCTTGCTCCACCTCCAGCAGCGCTGGGGTGGGCAGCTGCCCGCTCACCGACTCCGCGGCAGCCGCCGAGGTGGACTCCGCCTTTTTGCCGCCCGAGGATGTGCCGGTGACGGAGTGGCGCGTCATCGTCTCACGCAGCCGCCGTTCACGCTTCGTCGACGGCTGCTGCTGCTGCTGCTGCTGCGCCTCCTTCCCGCGGTCCTCACGCGCCTTGAGACGCAGCAGGCCGCGCAGCCCCCGGTGGTGCCCGTCGCCCGCGTCGTCGACGGCGGGCTTTAAACTCTCCGGCGTCACAACTCCCCGAAGAAAGGCAAAGAAATTGTTGGTTACATTGATGCTCCGTGCGGCGTGCATGGCGGCCGCATCCTCTATCTCACGCAGCGCGTAGCCCCAAAGCTTTTCGATGGTTGCCTGCGTCACGGTCTGCCGGGTGCGCTCGGCACCGGAGAGCGCACTCAGTTTGTCGCGGTTGTAGTTCGATGCGAGGGTGACCTTGACGAGGCGGTCGTGCATCGAGCGAAGCGCGTCAGACTCGCCGTAAAAGCCGGCAAAGACGTCAAACACCGTCGCGACCCGTCGCTCGAGCGCCATGGAGGACAAATTGTACGTCGAATTGACCAGGTAGCTAGGGATCCGCTGCAAGGCCGCGAAGAGGCGATGCACCTGCTCCCGGTAGCGCCGCGTCGCCTGCACCACGTGCCGCGCGACCCGCCGCTGCTGTTGGTCACACACCCTGTCGCACATCTCCATCACGTCCTGCAGGTGCCCGCCCGCCATGCCGGGCAATCGGCGCACGAGCGGCGGTGGACACACGGTGAAGTGCTGCTCCGTGACATGCTCAACCTGAGACCTGGCCGTCGCCAGCCAATTTTTTACCTGTTGCTCCGCCGGGAGAACTTCGGGGGGCTCCGTTGTTGTGTAGAGCGCGGCCATCATGGAACTTGGCGATGCCGACAACCTCGACTTGTTCCGGGCGCGTCCCTGCTTAGACAAGGCGACGGTTGCCGTTGCCGTTGCCGTTGCCGTTGCCCCCGCCCCCGCCGCGGGAGCAGCCGCGTCTTCCACTGCCGCGTCGGCCTTGGCGCCAAGGCGGGGCTCAATGTAGTTCTCCTGCGGCACGTTAAGGAGCTCCACGCCGTACTGAAGGCAGTCCAGGTGCCGCCCGCGCACATAGACAATCTCGCGAATGTGGTCCAGCAGCCGCAGCACCTTCGACGGGTCGCTCGCGCGGATCTGCCGCTCAACGTCGATCTTCACCTCCGCCAGCCGCTCGCTCAGCTCGGCCTCCACCTCGCCCGTGGTGTCCTCCGAGAGCGTCGCCGCCGCGGCCCCCGCCCCTCTCGCGACGGGCTGCATCGACGGCGTGAGCGGGGAGGAGGGGGCGGAGGGGCTGCCAACGGGAGGCAGCGTGCGCGACTCCTCCGTGGTGAAAGAGGCGCCGTACTCCCTACCCGCGAGCTCCGCCAGCGCGCTGGAAAAGTCGTACGACACGAGAGGGACGGCGAGACGTTCCTCCAACTCCTTCAAAGTCTCCTCGATCTTCGCCTCGCTTGTCTCCGAGAGCGTCATGAGGGAGTGCACCTGAACCTTGAGCCGCGACAGAATCTCCTGCAGCCGCGCCAGCAGCTGCAGCTCCCCCAAGTTCTGCTCGAACACCACCGTGTAGCTGGACCTCGCCGCGTCCAAGTGTCGCACATGGCGGTCGCGCTCCGAGCTGAGTTTCTCCTTGAGCGCCTTCGCTGCGCCGTGCAGTCGCAGCAGGGTCTCAATGACCTGCTTGCAGCTGCTGTCATTCGCGTCCTCCCAGGCGCTGGTGTCCTCAAGCTCGTCGAGGTCCCCCGGGACAGGCTTCCCGCAGCTGAGGAGGTAATTGTGGCACTCAGACTCCAGCACCTCCTTTTGCTTCGCCACGTCCACCATGATACCGTGGTAGCGAGTTGTGTGCGTCTCCAGGGAGGCGGCGACGAGGGAGGCAAAGTTCCGCTCCTGCGACATCAGCGCGTTCGCCGTGTTTGCCTTCGGAGCGAGCTTCTCAAATTCCTGCAGCTGCTCGAAGAGCTGGGCGTCCTGGGCCTCCGCCTGGTCGCCCGCCTCAATAGAAGACCAGGCGTTTTCCAGCATCGCAAGGCGCTCCCGCAGGCGGGCGCAGTGATTCTCCTTCTTCACCTGCGTCGTCTCAAGCTCGCGGATGCGCCCCTCGTAATCATCGGACTGCACTGTGGCGGGGCGACGGCGGTGGTGCCGCAGGATTTCATTCGTCTCCGCGTCGATTGCAGACCTCTGGGCGTTGCACTGCTTCCGCACATGCTCCATGGAGGTGTGGCGAAGGTGCACGGTCCAGTTGAGCACCTCGACCCGCAGCATTTCGCGCCACTCCTCCACGGTGGCTGACGAGAGCGACGGCGCCGCGGCGTCCTCCTGCAGCGTGGCCTTCAGCAGCGACTCGTACGTTTGCAGGAAGGCGGGCGGCGGCGCAGCCGTCGGCAGCGCGGACGATCGCGGGGAGTTTCCGCTGCTTTCGCCCCGCGCCGTCCCGCCCTTCCCCTTTTTGCCGCCTCGCTGCGCGTGCGCGAGCTGCGACCGCCGTTTCCCGCCCGGCGTCGTGGGGCGGTGGCCGTCGCCGTCGCCGCCGTCGCCGCCAAGGCCACGCTTATTCGGCAGCTGATGCTGCGGCGACGGCGGCGACGGCGGCGACGGCGCAGCGGGCGGCCTGTCGCCCAGCGCCATGGGCCCGACGATGTAGTACAGCTGCCCGTCCACCGCAGTGAGGGTGGGGTACGACGGCGCCGGCTCCGCGTCGCTCTCGCTCTCGCTCTCGGGTTCCACCACCACCTCCTTCGCGCGGCCCCGCTTCGTCGTCGCCGCCGCCGCCTCTGCCGCCGCTGCGGCTGCTGCTGCCGCCGCCTCCGCCGCCTCGCGCTCGCGCCGCAGGCAGGCCTCCTCGCTCTCCAGGCCAAAGAGCAGCAGCAGCCTGGCGCAGCGCTGCTCCATCTCCGCCTTCCCCTCCTGCGTCACGCGCTGCAGCGACTGCGCAGTGTAGCGCTGGAAATTCGTGTGCTGCGCCGCGATGCGATCCAGCACGGCGAGGCACTCGACAAAAAGCACTTCCGCCGCCTCCACGGTGGCCGCGTGCCGCAGCTCGTTCTGCTTCCGCGCGAGCTCCAACTCGACGTGGTGAAGGTCGTCGTCGTGGTCCTTGCGGGCCTCGTAGAGGGCGGCAAAGCCGGCGCGAATGAATCCCAGGGCTTTCGTCGCCGTCTCCTCCAACGCGTCGGTCGCCTTCTCAAAGGTGAGCAGGACGTTGATCGGACCGGTCAGCAGCAGGCCCTCAAGCGCCGCGTGCTGGCCGTTTAGCTCTGCCTCCACCGCGGCGGTGAACCACGCGCTCTCGCGCCGTATCGTCGACAGCAGCGGCAGCACGCGTGCGTCAACCTCAGCGCTAAGTTGTGCCTGCAGCGCGGGATTCGCAGCGGTGAAGCGGGTGTACACCGCATCCACGCCCTGCAGCGAGGCCTGCGCCAGCGTCTCCGCCTCGTACGCCTCCGGCTCGCAGATCCAGCGCACGAGGGCGTGCAGCTCGGTGAGGATCACCTCCGCCTCCGCACACAACTGCCGCTCCGCAATCCGGGCCTCCTCCGCGGCGCAGGCGCACTGCACCAGGGTGTTGCGCACCAGCACGTTCGCCTTGACGCGCCACTCCACCGTCACCTCCGACGGGCTCACTGGGAAGACCGGCGAGAAGAGGCCACCGTCGAAGCTGCGCAGCCAGCCATCCGGCAGAGTCCCGCCGCAGACTTGGCCGCACTCCGTCGGCAGCGGCTCCCGCGCGCGGCGCAGCGACTGCACCGTCGTCGCCACGTTTTCCAGAAACTGCGTCCCGTCCCGCCGTATGCTGCTGACCAGTCGGCTCATTTGTTCAATCGCCTGCATGCGGCACTGCGGGCGGCGGAAGTATGCCGTCTGCAGCAGCGTCGTTGCCCAGCGCAGGCCACTGCTCATCATGAGTTCCAGCGAGGTGCCGTACACCTCGGCCAGCTTTCGGCTGTAGTGCCGCTGCCGCAGCATCTCCCGGCAGCGCAGCTGCGCCAAGAGGGTCCTCCTGCTGGTGTGATTTTTGCAGAGGTGCTCGTTGATGTCGTGAATCGCTCGCTGCGCCAAGACGTGGGAGGCGCCGATGCTTGTGTAGCTGATCTTTGTGAGGTTCTCCACAAACTCTACAAGCAACCGCTTCAGCCCCTCACGCCTTTCCTGTTCACGCGCCTCCATGCCTTCCTCGCAGCTGGTGATGGCGTCCACGCGCGACTGGTACGAGTTGCGCACCTCGACGCAGAGCGAAAGCAGGCGCTGGCGCTCCGCCCGCAGCCGCGGCTTGCTCTCGTCTATGCGGACCTCGCCCTTGTGGTAGTCGTCCGTGAAGGGCTGCAGAAGATCCTCCGCGTCGCCCACGGGGGGCTGCGCGAGCTGATTTTTGTGCGACTCCACGCGCGTCGTCTCCGCCTGCAGCGCCGCAGCGCACTCGTCGTGGCTGCGCTGCAGGAACTCCTTCAGGTCCGCCAGCCGCAGCACCTGCTCCTCGTCGAGCCGCTTGTTGAACTCCCGCACGCCGTCGTGGAAGGTACCGAGCGCGTGCTGGTAGCGCGCGGCCATCCGCGCCTGCAGCCGCGACTCCTTCGCCGCCGGGCGCTGCAGCGAGCCCATCGCTGCAGGGTGCTATCGCGTTCTGCGGCCACACGGCGAAGACGAGGGCACACGCACGCACACACAGGCCGCAACAACAACGAAAAAAAAAAAGAAGTGTGTGAAGAAACAACTGCAGCAACACAAACAAAAACAGAAAACACACACACACAACAAAAAAAAAAGAAATGAGGCGGCGGGAATTCCGGCACCAGCAGGGAAGTAAGCGGGGCGCAGTCAAACACGGGCAAACGTGCCCTTACCAGGCGGCGGCCCTCCGCAGCGCCTCCCACAGTCGATCCAGCGGAGCATTTGAGGACGCCTCCAGCATGCACAGGACGACCTCGCGGACGAAGGCGTTTGCCTCCGCCACCGTGACGCGCCGCGTGCCCATCCACCGCGCCACGTCTGCCTCCACGCGCGCCGCCGTCGTCCCCGCGTCTGCCGCCGCGTCCGCGCCGCCGCACTCCGCCACGCACGCCATGATGCGCCACACGACGTGCCCGCGCAGCTCCGCCGCCGTCGGGAGCGGGAGCTCCAGCCGGAGGTCGAGGCGGCCGGGGCGGCTGATGGCGGGGTCGAGCGCGGCGAAGTGTGGCGCGGACGCCACGACAAACACGACGTCGCCGTCTCCGTGGCGGTTGCTGATGCCGTCCATCTCCGTCAGCAGCGTGCTGAGGGCGCGGTCGGCCGCGTTCGAAACCTCGCCCGTCTGCCGGCCGCGCGGAGGCGCCAGGCTGTCGATGTTGTCGAGGAACAGGGCGGTGGGCGACGTCGCCCGCGCGGCGGCGAAGAGCGCGGCGATGTTCTTCTCCGTCCGCCCCACCTCCTTCTCGATCAGCGCGAGGCCGTCGACAAGCGTCACGTGCACCCCACGCGCGGCCTCCGACCGCAGGCGCCGCGCCAGCGCCTTCAGGAGCGCCGTCTTTCCACTGCCTGCCGGGCCGCACACAACAACGCCCCTCGGCACCATCACCCCGCAGCGGCGCAGCAGCCGGAGATGGAGCAGCGGCCACACGACGAACTCCTCAAGCTCACGGACAACGGCGTCCAGCCCAATGAGGCCGCGGTAGGCGTCAAGCCGCTCCGCCTGCGCCTCACGTCCCTCGACCTCCGCCTGCCGCCCGCCAGAGACCGCCTCGCGCTCCAGCATTTGCGGCAGCGTCTCCCCCTCTTGCAACGCCGCCAGCTGCCCGGCCGTATACCCTGCGAGTAACTCGGCCACCCTCCGCCGCACCGCCGGCGGAAAACTAGACGAGGCACTATGCCTGTCAATGCAACCCTGCCGCTCCTGCAGCGACGGGGGCGTGACGTGCACAACCCGCGAGGAAAGTCGCGTGAGCAGCGCCGCAGGGAGTGAAGTGGTGGTGTTGGCCGTGGCGAGCAGCACGAGGTGAAAGTGTGCGTGTGCCGCGCCCGCCGGCTCCCGCAGCTCATCAAGCAGAGCGCAAAGCTGATGCGACACAAGCGCCACCAACAGGTTTGCGTCGCTCCACAGCAAGTCAACTGCGTCAAGCGTCAACAGCAGCAGGACGGCCTCGGCGCCGCTTGACGACGCCACCGGTGGAACGGCAAACATGCGGCGGAGCATCGTTACAGCCTCCTGCTCATTCAACTGCAGCAGACGGTCGACGCCGAGGTCGCGGCGCTCCACCACGTGTCTAACGCCCTGCGCATCCACGACAGAGGGAAACTGCTGCGCCACACGCCGCATTGTGTGCGTCTTCCCGACACCGTGTTCGCCCGTAAAGAGAACCGAGCACACCCCTGGCAGCCGCGCCCGCTGCAGGTAGTGGAGGATGTGGCGCACCGCAGCTGCGACGTGCCTCTCGCAAAGGGGGTCACTCATCTCCGCCGGGGGGCACAGCGCCGCGCCGGCTTCCACGGCCGCCGCCTCGACGCGCACGCGATCCGCCTCCGCAAGGGACTGCAGCGAGGCGCCGGAGGCAAGCGCCTGCTCGCTAGGCGGCGTGCGCACCGCCAGAGTAACCTCCGCACCGCTGAACGGGTCATACACCCGCGCGGAGGACCCGTCGAGGACGCCGGAGAACATGACGCTTGTGCCGAGACGCGACAGACCCACCACGCGGTCCGCCGCGCCCACGGCAACGCCGGCGCTTGTGACGGCGGAGAAGAACGTGCGACGTGCGTCAAGCGGGTGCTGGTGCAGCTCCTCAGCCGAGGGCCACCACACCAGCGGCGCGGCCAGAACCAGCAGCCCCGTCTCACCACGCATGAACGCGGCAACCCCCTCCCACTTCCGTCCTCTTCCTGCGCCAGGATGAAGAGGGAAGAAAAAAAAACAAAGCAAAAAAATAAAAAATAAAAAGAAGACACGCCCGCAACAAACAAGAGCAGCAGTGCACACATTACACACGCATATGCATGCACACAAACAGACACACACACACACACGCACAAAGAGAGAGAGAGAGAGAGAGAAAAGAGCTACAGGGCCCTATTATCCGCACAAACATGTTTGCCTTGCAACAGCAAGAAGGAAAAGGCGGCTGCACCAAAGCAAAAAGAAAAGAAAAGAAAAAACAACCTGCAGCAGAGGCGGGCCATCCGCAGGCACATTCGTACGCCCCAAAAACGGGCAAACACAGGCGGAGTCCGCGGGGCGCGCTTCTGACCCGTATCACTCGCCGAGAGGAAAATACCCGTGCAAGAGTCGTTGAACGAAAGCAGAATTTGTCGCGCTCAGTGCCATGGCGGCCACAGCGAGTAGTACGGCGCCCATCAAAGGCCCTGAGATGCGGCTATCCTTCCACGGCCGGCGCCACTCACGGAACAGGAGAGACCAGAGCAACTTCAGCGCCGAGTTTCGGGTGCGTTTGTCTGTCAGCATCCCGTGTTTATTCACGCCACCGTGAAGAAACCTCTCCCGCGCCTGTTGAACGCACGTTGAATGCTTCTTGTGAAGCGCAAGAGTTCCGCTCAAGATTTCCTCAACGGCCGCAGAATTTTTCATGGTTAAAACGTCCTTCGGGAGTCGCGTCAGCTTCTTGTACACGCTGGCCATGACCATCAGGTTGTCCTCGTACTCCGCGGCGGCGTCGCGCGCCTCTCGGACGTACCCCATGATGCGTTCCCTCTCGTGCAGCAGCAGGGCGGCGGTGAAGAACACGACGGTGTTCTCGTCTGCGTGCGCCAGAAGAAAATCAAACAGACGGGCGAGAACCCTGTTTTCCTCGCAAACGTGCGTATACCAGGTGATGATCCAACCCACGGCGTAGTGCGATTCGGGGGCGACGCCGCAGGCCTCTAACGTGGTCGCAAGCTCCGTGTCCTCCTCTGCCAGCAGCGCATGCACCGCGTAGAGCATCGACTCCGATTGCCTGAGCTCCTTGTCACTAAACGATCTCCATTGCACCTGCAGCAGTCGCTCGCAGACGGCAAACACGACATTCATGGAGGCTCCCTCCGTGACATACATGACGAAGCCCACGAGCTCGTGCAATCCCTGATAGTAGTGCCGCTCGGTATTATTAGAGAGCACACGCTGCAAAAGGTCCTCCAACACCCGGCGCATCGCGTCCCGCTTTGAGGCGTCGCCGTAGAGCTGCCAAAGCGACCTCTGCACATCGACCTGGATGACGCGCGAGGCGCAGTTGTCTGGCAGCTCCCGCGAATCCACCGTTTTGCTATCGTCTCCGTCCCCTTCCTCTGCTTCAGACTCCGCGGCTGCGTCGCCCGGCAGTGGCGTGTCCGCACTCGTCTCACTGGAGGGGCCCTGGCTGCTGCCCAGTGAGTGGGCGCCTCGCACCGCCGGCATCGGCTTCGCTCTGTCGTGGCCAAGCACCACGTGCCCCCAGACTGCGCGGCGCACAGTATTGTTTCCCAGCCCCGCCTCCACGCACCGCCGTCGGCACTTCTGCAGGTATGAATCCACGTCCTGCGAACCTTCTCGATCCTTCACGCGGGGCCCCGCCTCCTCTCGCTCCGGGCAGCTCTGCTCGCCCGCCCCGCGCAGTGGCTGCATCGCCGCTGCCGCCGCCAGTGTCTTCCGCCGAGGTCTTCTACCGCCCCTCCCCCCCACCCCACCCCCCTACTCAGTGCGCCGCCCAGTTGGACACCTTCCTTGCACCTGCGGAGGATCAAAAATCCCCGACGCCAACAGGGAGGGGAAGGAAAGGAAGAGCGAAAGAGGGGCAACGCAATCGAGGACAGAAGCATGCAGGCACCTCCACAGAAGGCCCCCGTGGAGCGAAGGAAGCGGCCAACGACGCGAACTCCCTCCGCAGTGTGGGGCCTTCGAAAACACCTAAAGAAAAAGGCCCATGACGGCGGCAACGATAAATCACGACAGAATAATAAACAGGAATATTTTCTCATAGAAAACAAAAAAAGGTGACGAAAAAAAAAAGCCCAAAAACAGCAATAAAGTACCAAAATGAAGGTCCATATGAAGAGCACGGCGTCGCAGGGGGACTCTCACTCGTACCGGCGGCTTCCAACAGTTTCATTAGTTGTAGGGCTTCGCCTCCATCCCTGCGGGGGGCTCCGCCTTCACCTCGCGGCTTCCCACGTCCTCCCAATTTGTTGACAGAACAGTGCCGTTGCTCTCCAGGAAAGACTTCATCATTGCCCGGCGCTGCTCATCGGAGCCGTTGCTGTATATCTGCTGGAAGAGCGCATTCAGCGCCTGGTCCCCCTCCGGCTTCGCCTCCTCGTCCTCGAGCCTCCAGGAGCTCCAGTCCTTCCCGCGACTGTTTGGGTACTTCAGTTCCCCCGCTGACGCCGGCGGGTCGGCGCTGGCAGTCGGTGCCGGAGCGGCTACCTGCGGCGGCGCGCTGGGGCCATCGTCGGGCGCTTCCAGCGCCGGCCACTGCAGCTCAGATGCCTTCTTCAGCGACACCTCAACCTTCGCTGCCCGCACGTTCACCGCCGGGGCCTCGCCGGCAAGCGGGGCGTAGAGGCGGTTAACGGTGTACTGGTACTCGCGCCCTGACGCGTCGAGGCGGATCGTCACCGTCAAGGACTGTGTCTCCACCTCCACCCGGACATCCCCCTCTTGGCGATCGCGCACGTAGAAGCAGAAGCTCACGCGGGCCGGGGACTGAAACCACTCGCAGCGCACGGTTCCCTCAAACGTCTTCGTGGTCAGACTCATCGGTGCGTATGGTGAAAAGGTGACTTTGCTTGCAGCTTTATTCGCCGTCACGGCAGATCTCTACGGTGTTGCACCCAACGAGAGGAAGACAGGAGAGGCAAAGAAGCCGCATGTAAGTGCGTGCGCCAGTCCAACGGACTGCCCGCAGCGGCAGGAAATGTTTCTGAGAGGGAGAGAGAGCGAGGGGGAGGGAGGGCAGCCGCTGGTGGGGGGCGCCGCTCCATCCACGCCGCAACAAAAGAAGCGAGGAAGAGAAAAAAATAAAATAAAAATGAAATAAATTACGCAGTAAAAGGAAACAAAACAAAAAAGTAACCTTCGAGTTCAGTGGCGCAAGCCGATCAATTCTTGGAGAACCGCTTGCCAAGCTTGTCCGCGGCGGACTTGCTGACAACCTCCAGCACGTTGTAGCGGATCGTCTTGCTCAGCGGGCGGCACTGGCCGACCACCACCTCATCTCCAGGCTTGGGGTCGAAGCAGGGGCTGCAGTGCACCGTCAGACTGCGGTGGCGCTTCTGGTAACGCTGGTACTTGCGGATGAAGTGCAGGTAGTCGCGGCGAATGACGATGGAGCGCTTCATCTTGGTGGAGTGCACCACGCCGCGAAGAATGCGGCCACGGATGGACACGTTGCTGGTGAAGGGGCACTTGCGGTCGATGTACTTGCCGTTGACGGCCGCCTTGGGGGTCTTGAAGCCGAGACCGATCTTCTTGGAGTAGCGGATGTGGCCGCTCATGTTCACGTG